GATTGATAGATGAATGATCTTGAACAGGTAAATATAGTTAAGTCTAGCGAGAATGTATAGCTGCAAAGGTAATTGGTGGTATTTATTTAGAGAGTAAATCGTTGCTTCAAGTCATAATCCTCCATTTTCAACATTTAGAAACAAAAAAACGACCTCCGTGCAGGGAAGATAGCTAAATTGAATAGCAAGGAAAGACAGGCTTGAAATACTGGTTAACCAATGAACCGAGACCCATTAGAGTAAATTACCGAGTATGGAAACATCGGCCCACTGCTTGCTGGCTAAGACACTTCGACACCCTGAGCATCCATTGGTTTAAAAGGAAACACAAGGCCTCATTTGTAGCAGCAGCATGTATGGAGTCACGGGAGAAGGGATGGCCAGAGAAAAGAAGCGTGTGGAAGCAGCTCAGCCAGGTAGGAAATAGCAGGGGAGCTAAAATAGCTGTGGGGCTGCCTGCTTTCCAGCAAGCGAGCTGGTTTTCCGATTGCATTTAGTCATGCCCATGTAGAGACAGCCTGTATCGTGTTCCTAAGGAGACATCCCTGAGTAACTGCCTTAGAAGCCCGCAATAAATAAATAAACAAAGAAACAGATCACAAAGCCACAAGTCCTTTACCACTGGCATTTACACAGACAGCTCGTGAGAGCATTTTATAAATCCAGGAAGAGACAAGGAGCAGCGGATCCCTCAAGCAAGTAATTGACAGAGAAAGAATAGCCTGTCTCACCCAGGAGAGCTGGAAGCTCTGAATTTCAGTTACAGTTTGTTTAGCTTTCCTGGGCCTTGATTGGCTGGCGGTTTTCTAGAGCTCCCCCTGAGCAGATGTTGTCTAGACTGACATGGTGAGGACACCCTGTGATGTTTGCATCTGCAGCAGAGGGGTTTCTTTTTGGTTTTGCCACGTTCTGGGGGGAAGGACCTGTGATCCACTGCCCATGCTTGTGAACTGCTGTAGACTCTTGGAGCTGGAAGGGGTCTTAGATCTCATCTGATGCACCCCGCCCCCGCTTACAGAAAAGAGGCTTCCATGTCCCCTGCTTCGTGGTTCCGCCCCACACGTGACTTCTTGCGTGGCCCTCTCCACACTGCATGATGGGTCTCTGATTAGTCTGTCCTCCCAACGGGACAGGGAGCCATGAGGCCAGTGTCGTTTTGTCCGTCCAGCTTCGTAGCCCTCACGCCTAGCGCAGTCCCCAGGCCAGACCAGGTGTTGGTAAACGTCTGGTAAACCATGAAGAGATGGGACCCAAACCCAGCCGACCAGACCCTGGGAGCCTATTTCCTCCCTCTCCAGGCCACTTAGCCCCCCACTTGGTCACCCGGAGCACCCTGATATTGATTGTAAAGGAATGAGCCGCTTCTGTTGGTTTGGCGTCTGGAGTTTATTAGGTACTTACTGATACCCGTCAATGGAAGATAGGGCTGAAGTGCAGGGAAATGGCTGCCTGCATGAAGTGAAATTCAATAAAACCGCATTTTAAGTGAAAAATCAGTATAAACACCAGGCTTCTTTGCCATGGAAACAGAGGTTGCTTAGAAACTGCCTAACGGCGAGTTCTAAATTTTTTAAAGTCAAGTTATCATTTAAGCTACACAGCCCTACAGGTTATTGAGAGATAATCACTCGCCTCAGGACACTCAGAGGCATGAGGCACTGCCGAGTGCCTCCCCAAACTCTGGGGACCAGATAATCTCTTGATAACTGTGCTCCTTTGGAGCCACTGATGTGGGCCTGGGGGAAGGAGAAAGAAATTTTTGTTCAGAAGTTAAATGGCGTACATATATTTTTTTTAAAAGTGTTTCTCTTTGGGTTTGAGAAAAGATGGAGCTGGCCATTTGGCATGTTCTACAGCCATCCCTGCCGTGTCTCGAGATGTATGAGGACCATTTTCCAGGCAGTTACTGCAATCACTTCAAAGCACAGGTCCTGCCTTGGTCTTCTGGCTTTTGATTATACAAAAAAGGGCTTTTGAGGTTTTCCATGTTCTGCTGTTCACTCTCCAGGAGCCCCACGACGAAGTGGTACCAGAGTTTGGAGCAAAGCTGGGCCACTGAGCACTCAGTCGAGACCTCCTGGGTCTCAGGCTCAGCTCCCAGGGGCTTAAAGCGAACAAGGGTCCAGGTTCAGAATTGGTTGGCATTTAGAGTTCAACGAGTCGCTTTTGCCAAGCAAGAGCACAGCTCCGCCTGCCAGCACCTTGTTGCTTGGATCCCTGTTTGCTTCCGACCTCAGACATGCAGAGGGCAAAGAATATTGCATTCATTTCTTCCTGAAAATAATGGGCAAAATTAGAATCCTAGTGGCTGAGCATTGGGACACCCCTCCCCCCCACCACCAAATCAGTATGAAGGAAATTAGGAGTGAAACAAAGACAAATGTTGTGCCCTTTTCAATGTCTAAGAATTTTCCTTGGCATGGCCATGTGATAGGGTTGGTAGTGATAATGATTCCTTAGACACACACCCACTTTCTCTGGAAGTGTTTTCATTAGACCCTTCAGAGTGTTTTCCTGCACCTCATCTCCTTAGAGCCCCGGAACAAACCTGTGAGAAGGGTAGGGCGGGTGCGATCATCTTCCTATGGAGAAAGAAACAGGTTCGCCGAGGCAAAATAATGTCCTCCAAGCCCCAGAGGTGGGAGAAGGAACTTGTATTGCTTGCTGCCTGCCATTCTGCGGAGTCTACCCCTTTAAGAGCTAAGAAGTGAGACCCAAAATCATTCTTCCAAGAGTTTGGCTCTTGCTTAATAAAAGAAGGTGAACTTTGCACACGTTTTTGCTTTGCTTCCCTGTTAGCATTTTATTTAGAGATCTCACAGGGCAAAGAGAGTGGCTTTTTCTTTCCTGCCAACGAATACAACAGCCGCACTTAGCATGTTAAAAAGCACTCCGAAAATGAACCTTGCAACGTTTTTATGCCGCTATGACTGAACGGAGCCGAAGCACCACTTTGCTGGGTGTTGCCCAGATCAAAATATGCCTTGAAGCTGAGAGTGTGCCATGCTGTAGCTTGAGAAATTGTTCCAGTTCTTGAAGGGGGAAAAAAAAAATTTCAAATGAAACCATTTGCATTCTAACAGTCTTTGGCACCAGGGAAAACTGTCAACTGTGTCACGTGTAAATAGAAATCTGCTTCCCATTTTTGGTGCATTTTTTTTTTCATAATTTCCCTTGCCACTCTAATTATCAAAGATATTTTTGTTTTTAAACAAAAATTGTCTCCCACGCAGGCCCCATCTTCCTTCTGCGGTGAAGTGGAAACGATGAATTGGAATATTCTAATCACTTCTCCAGCAACGAACCGCTGAGGTTATAAGCACAAGATTATCCTACGTAAAGAAAACTCGAATTGTTTAGGCACAAAACAGGCCAGAAAATTTTTCAAAGTGCCCCCCCTCCCACCTGCCTCCCTTGCCTCCTTAGCATATGTCTATTAAACCCTAGGAGGAAAGCAAAAGTGCACGGGCTTTTCAGATTAACATAATTAAAACCCAGAATTCAGCTCCATTCAGCAAGCATTTAAGTTCCTATTTGATGGCCAGCTGTGAGGGAGAGGCTCTGAGGAATGATCGTCAAGAATAAAATAGGGTCCATCAACTAGATATTATCCACTCTACTGGTAGATGGGGATCGCATCTGCAAGACACTGGGTAGGGCTGGGTCTGTGCTTCCTCATTTAAACCTCTACAGAGCCCTGAGGAAAGTAGACCCCCCATTTTTAGAAATGAGGAGACTGAGACAGACAAATTGAAATATCTTCCACAGCCACTGAGCCGCCGATGTCTGCGGTCAGGTGAATCCCGTAACTAGCATTGCTTAGTCCTTCCTTAGTGGTGAGCTGTTCAACTCTCCTTTAGATCCTTCTATCGGATGTGAGTATTCCAGAGACGGATGTCATCTTCAGTCATTAGTGTACAACCTAAGAAGTCGCTTATTCAGGATGTGAGCCTGTTCAGTCAAGTACTGGTTGAGTGTTTGCCATGTGCCATGTTAGGTGCCCGGGATACAGCAGTGAGCCAAACAGGCACAGTCCCCGCCCCCCAGGAGCTTGTATTGTGAGGAATGGAGATGGTCAGTAGACAAGGAGTTGATAAGGGCTGGGTGTCCTGAAAAAGAAAAAAAAGGGGCAACCACCCTGGCACGGTGGTCCAGGAAGGCCGACCTCTCTGAGCAGGTAATGTGTGAGCTGAGGCGGGCAGGATGGCCGAGAGGGAGCTGCCTCCCTAGGGGAGGGCCTGATCCTTCCTGCGGTTGCAAAGCCAGGCCCTGTTGGCCAGGTGTATGGAATTTACACTTAGGCTGCCCAGTGCATGTGACTGGTCATTCAGAAATGGGATATGACCCCACCGTTCAGGCCAAAATGAAGAGCCTCAGCCATGGTAGGTGTAGAACGTCAGGTGGTCCAGGCCCTCAGCTCTGGCCATATCGTGTGGGACACCAGCACCTGGCCTCAGCCGAAAGTCACAGGACAGGGCCCAGCCAGTCCTGCCCCAGGAGGATAACGAGCTGGTCCCTGTAGGAGCCTGTCCAGACCACCAAGAAGGGCTCTCGGTGGCCAGAAAGGGCCGGCTGCAGAATTCTGCCACAATCTGGAGGGCCAGACTTGGTAGTTGGGGCTGGTCCTAGGAGCCGCGGGGAGCCTGTCGTGAAGGGTGGCCTTGTCCGTTTTCTTGCTTCTGAAAACTGGGGTTTCACACCCCAGAACTTAATGGGACTCTGCCAGGAGCGTGTCTGATCTCAGTCTGGCTCTGACTGGACTAATGACTCTCCTTCTGCCAAGGGGTAGGAAACGCCTCACCTCTATTTCTGTTAGGCTTTGGGGCCCTGCCTTATGAACTAAAGTGGGTGTGTTCTGCTGTTCAAGTGATTTGATGTCATTATCAGTTTTTTTCTCAAATAGCCCAGTAAGTAGCCTCTTGGGTAGAACACCAGCAGGTTCTCCTGCCTGAACTCCCCACCCCCACCCTCCCCACTCACTCCTGTTCATCTCTCCACAGGGTTTTCCTCCACTTGATGAAGGTAGACCCGGACTCCACCTGGTTCCTCCTGAACGAACTTTATTGCCCTGAGCTGCTCACGCCTCCTCACCCCAGCCTCCACCCTGTGCAGCTGCGGGGGGCCGCAGGGCAGCAGAACCCATACACTGCCAACGTGCTCCTCCTGCTCGGGGAGCTGCAGTGACCCCTCTCTCCCCCACTGGGCAGGCACTTACCGCAGGAGGTTGCCCCCCCTGCCTTTGGGCGGGGAGCTGACCCCATCCTGGCCAAAGGCTGCAGCCATAGCCGCAGCAGCAGAGAAGACTGCGAAGGTGGATTAAACAGCTGATCGATTTATAAATTGATTGATCACGCAGCTGCTTAGAAATTGGATTGAAGGAAAGTAGCTGACTGTTATTTATATTTCATACCTGGTGTTTTCAAGTGACATTGTCTGGCAGTTCTAAGGGCTTAACTCCTTAGCTTACTATGTCGGAGGCCCCGGCTGCCTCACCGGCCACCCCCACCCCCACCCCCACCACACACACACCTGAGAGCTTGAGGACACGTGGGCAGAGGCCTGTTGTATGCATCGTGTGTGTCCTCTGAGTGCCTGAGGCCCACGTGGAAGTACCACTCAGCCCGGCCTCCCAGCCACACACGCCTCCCTCACCATGAATAATGAGATGGAACTAACTCGTCGCACCTAACCTGTTTTTTGGAAGAAACTGAAATAAAGGCATTTCTTGGATGAAAAGTATGATCCAGGGCTCACTTTGAAGTTTGTTATTTAACTTGGGTGATTTTTTTCTTTTTTTAAATTGAGTGTATGTGTTCTTGAACGGATAGTCCAGAGCCACGGCGTAAAAATCCCGGCAGCACAAAGCAGAAACTGAAACGTCAGTCTCCCATCCCCGTGCCCCAGACACCTGGGTTTCCTCCCCAAAAGCAAACAGTTTTGACAGACTTTTGGATACCTTTTAAGTAGGAGATTAATTCTTTTTAACTTTGTGTTATGGGTAATAGCATACTGACATCCCAGGTACCCATAACCCGGCTGCCCCAGTTGCCAGCGCACAGCCAGCCTTACTTCCCACCCCTGCCCACTTACCTCCCCACCCCCACCAGCCCCTGGATTATTTTCAAGCAAATCCCTGTGATTTTTTTTTTTAAGATTTTATTGGGGAATTGGGGAAGGGAACAGTGTTGGGGAATCAGGGGAAGGGGAACATTGTGTTTTTCCAGGACCCATCAGCTCCAAGTCAAGTTGTTGTCCTTCAGTCTTAGTTGTGGACGGCGCAAGCTCAGCTCTAAATCCAGTCACCATTTTCAATCTAGTTGTGGGGGTGCTGCCCACCATCCCATACGGGAGTTGGACCGGCAACCTTGTTGTTAAGAGCATGCGCTCTCACCAGCTGAGCCATCCGGCCACCCATCGGTAGCTCAGCTAGGGCGCAGCTCACTGGCCCATGGGGGAATTGAACCACCTGTGATTTTTGTCTTCTAAAGATTTTATTGGGGAATTGGGGAAGGGGAACAGACAAGTTGCTGTCCTTTTGTTCTTCAGTCTAGTTGTGGAGGATGTCCCTTCACTGGCCCATGTTGGTATTATCATTGCACTCTTCCCGGGTGAGGCAGATCGGTGGACGGCTGCTCACGGTGGCTCTTGGCAGCTCACTGCAGCCTATGCTGTCACCGGCAACTCATGGCAGCCCAGCTCCAGGTCGAACTGTTGTTTATCATTTTAGCTGTAGAGGGCGCAGCGTCACTGGCCCTCGTGGGATCCAAACTGGGGCCCTACTGCTCAGAGCTGGTGTCCCAAGCCAGCTCTTAACCAACGCGCCACTCAGCCGGCCCGCCTGTGATTTGTTTTTAAACGTACAAAATCACACCTACAAAAATTAACGTTGATCCTTTAATATTGGATTGAGTCGGTGTTTCAATGTCCCTAGTGTGTGTGAATTAGGATCCAAATAAGGTATGTACATTGCTGTTATCGATATGTCCCTTAATGCATCTCTTCTCATTTATAGATTCCCCCACACACACACCTCTTTTTTTTCCCTGAAAGTTTTATGGTGAGGAAAGAAGGTCATTTATCCTATAGCGTTCCCCACAGTGTGGCTTTACCGATTACTTCCCTGTGGGGTCATTTCACAGGCTCCTCCTGTCGCCTGTGTGTCTTGTAAACAGGGAGACAGAACAAGAGACTTGATCAGGTTTGGTTGTTTTGTTTTTGTGTTTTGGCAACACTCCTCCCTATGTGGTGTTACTTACCTCCATTGGGCGGTATGTAATGTCTGAGCTCTTCTCACGATACTGGCCGTCCAGGTGAACCTTGCCCTGGGTCCACTCATTCTTTAGCGATTGCCAGGTGGTGCTGCTCTAGTCCCACCGTGCCAGCTTGCTTTTAGCTAGAGCGCCTGTGTGAAGGGGACCTGCCCTTCCTCAGCCATGCGCTAACCTTGAGGGAGTTCGTATTAAAAAGGCAGGGTAAATACTTGATTTTTCTAGCTGTGGGATTTACAATGCACAGATTATGTAAATTTAGGTAAACTGCCACACACACACACA